AGAGAGAGAAAGAAAGAGAGAGAGGCAGAGAAACATATCTATTTTTAAAACTCAATCTAAAATAGGAGACACGCCATCCTTTGGCATCCCACATATAGGAGGGTTAATTCCATACTGTATTCTGTAATCCGATTTTCTGTAATACTCCGCTGTGATATGAAACTTATCAGGCATTATGGTATTTTTTCATCTACTGACGGCATGGTGAGCGATTTGTTAGAAATATATATGAAGTATTTATAGATGTTTGTATCATCAATGTGATCTGAAATGATATAGATGATGATGATGATGATGATGATGATGACGATGACGATGACGATGACGATGACGATGACGATGATAATGATAATGATAATGATAATGAAGATGATGATGATGATGATGATGCTGATGATGATGATGATGATGACGATGACGATGACGATGACGATGACGATGACGATGAAGATGAAGATGAAGATGATGAACACGGAGACGAGATCGAAGATGAAGACAAAGATTGGTGATGACATCGAAGAAACTGATGAAAATGACTGCCGACGGTGGTGACGGCGACGGCAGCTCCTCCCCCCAACACTCACATTTCGGCGAAGTCGAACTCGAAGATGGAGCGCGTGTCGTCGATCTCCCTCTGGTCCGCGAAGGGCCTCCCCGCGCCATCCTCCAGGGACTCGTGGCGGGCGCCCTGTTGGCAGCAGGGAGGCCCGCCCGCGCCGCCCATCCTCCTGCTGACGTCGTAGGTGTTGGTCGTGGTCACGCCCGAGGGCTTGGCCACCCAGAACATGGACAGCGCCTTCTGCACCCGCTCCGTGCTGAAGGACTTGTGCAGCTCGCGTCTCGCCGACATCATGGGCCCGCGTTCGGTTCCTCGGATTTTAGGGACGAAGGTTTTCGTCGACTCGTCGGGTGGGTTGGCTATCATTGTCTCTCGTTTTCTTGTTTGCTAATTTTGTGCTTTATTTTCGTTATGTTTTAGGGTTTTGTCTTGCTATTTTTAATCTATATATTCTGTATTAATGAATCTGAATTTATTTCGTTCGTTTGCTTGTTTTTTTTTTTTTCAAAATGAAAAATAGCGACGGTG